TTGATCGTCGTCGCTTCGGCCATTTTTCGCATCTTATCTTGGTGTTGTGCTATCATGGCAAGCATGCTTTGCATGGGCTCCGCGTTTGAAGGCTCTCCCATGGCTTTGCGACCGGTGCACCTAAGTCACTTGAACGGTCGGCGTCGGGATCAGCTTCAGGCAAGGGATTCGTAGTCGAGTCGGCGGGGACAGAGTAATCGTGCGGGTCCTGGATAGTGGGAATGAGTCTAGTTCGCGTGACCAACAAGTGCTACCAGATGTAGTTTCTGAGCTGGTAAATCAAAGAGTGGAGTTCAATAGGTTCTTAATTCGCAACTATATGCTTATCTAAGCCTCCTGATATATGCACTGGATTCGTTGTCTGATTTAAATTTTGATGGCATCATTTAAGGAAACAGATCTTATCCATCGTGAGCCGGCGCATCCTGCTCTACAGGGCATCTCCTTCGGAATTGTCCGAGTTTCGCAGCTCTCTCTAGAAAACTAGTAGCGCACCGGACTGGGTAGCGGGCATACCGGCAACGCACACAATGTTCTTTGAAGCGTGCGCCAGTCGCCTAGTAGGCGGGCTTCCCTTACACCGACAGAGGATTCTCGTCGATCGGCTTCAGGATGGTGCTGCGGGGGATACACGTGTTTGAACGACCGTCTGACATCTACTTTCTACGCTGTGTCAAACTAAGATCTGGGACGGAGAGAAAAGGTGTTGTCTTCCGGGATGCGACACTAAATCTTAGTAGGAATACCGCCGGATTTTGGGATTGTGCTTCCGGCACTTACGGGAAGTCGCGAGATGAGAACATAGCAAGATTAAGACTGCAATATCGGGAGCCATGCTCAATGCATGCATCCAATTGCTGGAGTGTGACCCTCAAGGAACATCGATTCCACACGGCTATAGACAAGGTCTGCTCCCGGAATATTTCCGCGGCTCCCAAAATGGCGTCGAACATACCAGAGACCTTGCACATAGGTAGTTAACCCGTGTCAATGGAATGTCTGACCCCCCAACTACTACGTCAGGTTGGCTACAGGCAAAGTTTGTTGTGTGCCAAACATTAATGACAAAGTTGTTGGTACAATTTATTTGCTAAATACGATAAGGTGCCCATCTCAAAGTCTGTCGCGTAGACTTTTGTCTGTCTCTACGATAGGTAGGGGTAATAGGTAATTCAACACGTGTTTGGGGCTATAGAGTCAACTTTATGATGACTTCAATCGGGCATATTGCGCACTTGCATCATGTGCTGCTGAAAGCGATTAACGAAGCCTTCAGGGTCTCAGCAATGCATTTTATGTGAGGCTCTGAAGCTGACAACAAAACCAGAAGTCTTTATTTAAGTACAAAAATATTTGCTAGTGGAAGCAACGATATTTTGTCTTTTAAAACAAGCTACAGATCGTCGAAGCCGTGAGCCTGCTGCGTGACACTTTGCTTTACCGTTGCGGTAGTTCACAAGCTTTGAGCATTTAGGACAGTATATGACGCCACAACCTCATCCACCACTCGACACGCCTTGTAACAAAAAAGTACATTTGTGCGGTGTAGTGGCGATCACAAATCCTCGATATACAGTCTTCCCTCTGCTAAGTTATCCCCGGCTACGGAATAACCTCCGGTAAGTTATAGGATTCGGTCTCCACCGACCTCGTTCTATGGTGACTACGGAATGAGTTATACGGAATATCCTGAGGGCCAAATACAAATTATCAGAGGGAATATTTTTGATCGCCGTGAGCAGAAATATTGTACGCAGAACCTTTTTTTGTTATTCACTGCAAGAAAGGAGTGGAAAGAGGAGAGGAAACTACTTCAGCCAGGAATCAAGTGTGGCCTGAGTGGTACTCGCACTACGGAGATCAGCTTGGACTTGGCGAAGGGTGCGGTGAGCTATACGATGAGACTCCTGAGAAATGTCGAGAAGGGCGATGGATAGACTAAGGCTGGCAAGCTTTTCAGCCTTCGAATGCTTTTCCACCTCCTCCTCCGCCTCAGCAGCACCTTCCTCCTCCCCATACGGATCCTCAACAAGCTTGATGATTTCGGCATCGGTCAACTCCGCATGCGCCGTCTCCTCCTCCTCAGCCGGATTGAAAAGAGAAGCGATCGACATGGGATTGCGGAGCGGGAGCCTTTCCAGCGCCAAAACAAGATCCTGTTCCACGCGATGCTCCTCTACTGCAGCAGCTGTTGCCTCCTGCTGGGCCTTCTGGCCAACAGTGCCGGCTTCGTTTTCACCTCCACCAGTCGGCAGAGACGGACCGCCCATGAGTCCCGTATGACGGAAGCAGTTGGCGATTGTGGCACTGTAAATCTCGCTCCACGCAGCCAGCGACCAACGCATGGCCGTGAGCTGATCAACCTTGTAAAGGTTGGTTTCTCCGCGCTCGTCACGGTCCAAGGCATTCTGCAGATGCAGCCGGCGGTAGTGCCTCTTGAATGCGGCAATGATCCCAGCATCCATGGGTTGGACCTTTGAAGTCGTATTAGGAGGAAGAGCCTGGACCGTGATGTTGGTGAGTTCCAGGTCAGCAACAATGTGTGAAGGAGCGTTGTCTATGAGAAGCATAATTTTTCTATCCTTTTGCTGTGGTCAACGCGTTAGTCAAACCTCATTTACTGTACCACAACGATGATGTTCAAGGCATGCCCCAAATTACCTTCATACTTTTGTCGATGTCTCCCAGCCATTCCTGGAAGAGTATGCCAGTCATCCAGGCTTTAATGTTGTTGCGGTAGAGAAAGCCCAGTCGCTCAGCTGTCTTGCGCTCAAAACACCGCGGCTTTTTGGCGTGTCCAATGAAGAACGGCGGGAGTTTGTCGGATCCATCAGCGTTTGCCGTGAGAGCAACTGTGATGCGCGTCTAGAATAGTTGTTAGTGTCAGAGAAACGCAGGAAACCAAGATGAGAGCAATAATGTACCTTGTCTTTTTTAAACCCTTCGACCTCTTGATGGGCAATCGTTTTGTCGGGCGTCATACTGTAGAACAACCCTGAACAGAAAGTGAGCCTTTGAGATGCTTCTGTACTGTACAATGAGTACAGTACTGTACTGTATTCTCAGACCTACCAGTTTCGTCCATGTTGTACACGTCACGTGGAGTATAACCAGCAACCACGGCCTTGAGGTGTGGAAGACCCTCCTCTAGAGCGCCCATATCTGCTGAGCCACTCTCGCCATGAATGCGGACAGCTCGCAGTTTGTGGCGCTGCTGGAATTTGTGGAGCCACCCATTCGAAAAGCGGATGTTTTCCTCCGAGACGCCCATTGATCCCGAAAAAGTCTGAGCCTTGGCCCGTATGAGATCTCCAGTGAGAGCGACCCCACGGTGCTGGCACTGCAAGACCCAGAAGGCAACGGCCTCCTCCACAGCTGGGTGCTGGACAGTCCGAGGACGCTTGGCGCTGAGGTTAGTGGTGTCCATTGCCTCAAGCTCCTTCCTTTTTTTGATGATTTTGCTGATCGCTGCCTGGGAAAGTGCCTTCTGGAGGTCAAAGGCGTCCTTTGTCCAAGCCGCCAGGGCAGTCTGGGTGATGCGCGGGTTAGCATCCTGGTGCTTGCAGATGCGCAGCTTCTGCTCGTTGGTAAGACGTATCTGCGACATCTGTTGTGAGTGAGCAAGGTACAGTTGGTGGAACTTCTTAACCAGAGATAGCAAAATCACCAGAGACTGGTGGGGCAACCAAAATCACAAAATCGTCAAAGGGCACGTGACACGTGACAGACAGGTTTTGGAAGCCTGGAGGTTTGTTGCGTTTTTGATTCTTTAATTAATTAAATTAATAATTTTTCCGCAGCATATCTCTGCTATGGAATAACCTCTGCTATGTTATAAGATTTGCCTTCCACCAAGTCTATAACTTAGCAGAGGGAAGACTGTAGTCTCAACTTACCACCCGAGCCAAATAAGGTCCACTGATGTAAAGTGCCAATTGATTCTGTGTAGGAAAACATAAATCACTTGGTATTTATGTCGGCATTACTGGTTGTGATCTTCTTGTTGTATAGAACATCTCCATCGGTGTTTGGCGTAGTAGCGATTACGCGGGAACTCTTCGCGCCAACAAACGCAACATCGCGGGTTCTTGAGTAGCCGCGCTCTTGTCGAGCCACCGTGATCCTGCGGTGTGATGAAATCAGGTCCAGACAAACTTTTTGCCACCGATCTGCTTTCGTGTATCGTCGGGAGACCCTGTGTACTGACCAAAAGAGACTTCGTCGTACGCCTGAGAATTAAAACTAAACTCTGCTTACAAGCCGTCCGAAACACAAACTCCAAAGCTATTATGTTTACAAGGATGCACCACGTGTCCTGGTACTGTATCGAAACGACTGCTTCCTTGTACAACATGTTGCCAGGAACATAACGGCGACATCCTTACGTAAATACTCGACTCCCGATGCAGCATCAACCTTATCGCGGATCACCGTCACTCGCACCACCTTGATCCTAGAAATCATGTGCAGCTGACCGGGATTCTAGCGTGCGCGTTTTCAATTCCATTCGACAAAGTATCAAGACTCAGCTCGGATGGATCAATTAGAGTATTTTTGGGATCGATCAACTTCTTCGATCGACTGCGCCAAAATATCTCTGATCGACTTCATCACCGTCTACATGGACTCAGTACCCTTAACTAGTGCTACTACATGTAGTTTAGAGCTGGGCAAGCTCTAACGTGAATTGACCCAGACCTTGCGTTCCCATTGTCCATAGAATCAGAGAGTTGCAATATACTACACTGCATCCTCGATGACAACATCTCGTTCGTGGACCGTTGCGGTCTCTCAGCCGCTGTTCGAGCATTTGACAAAACGTTCGTGCGCTCCAAAGCGCGTTTGGTCGTTTTTGTGCGTGGCGGCGCCCCACACTTTATTACACACATGGCATCTCTGCAACGTCGAGCTAAACATGGATACACTTTAGTCGTCTGTCATTGGTCAAGACAAGAACAAGGCATTCGCTCCGGCGTTTCAGTATCAGATCCGACGCCGAAATGTTCCTGGGCGACAAAGAGCTGGCGCGTGGAGACAGACAAAGCCGGCAAGGCGACCGCAAGCGTGTGCTGCAGCTGGCGAGGGAGAAGAGGAAGGCAAGGATACGAAAACAGGAGCTGGAGGTCGCGGCGCAGCACATACAGAGGTTTGTTCGCGGACGACTCGCGGCTCGACGCTGGCGGACGCAGATGCGCGTTGAATGCGATCAGAAATTGAGCGATGTCGACCAGCTGAAGGTCATTCTGCAGCTTCCTGACATGGCGCTGCCGTACGACTCTCTTTTTGAGGTGAAGTGAATGCTGTCAAGTGGATACTTTGACGAGATTTGCACGATAACTAATCGCCAGTTGTGCTGCAGCTGCTCCGTCTAGTGGTATTATTCTATACTGGAAGTCGCGAAGACGCCGAGAGACTCCTAAGACTAAGCTCGCTGTTTGCAGACTCATTGGCTGCTTCTTCTGATGGGATCAACGATGCGGGAGACGGACAGCGAGACTGGCTATTACGACGACTCATCGATTTGTGTCTGCAGTGTAGTTCGGTGTCGCCCGCTGACACAAAAGTCTTCGCGGGATTCAAGACTGTCCGAGATTTGACCGTGGCGCTGCCTGAGATGCAGCGATACTTGCTGTCTGACCGAATACTTGTCTTTCATCCGATGCAACGAACTCGAAGGAGGCTATACAGCGAGATGGACAGCGCTCTGGTGATACAAATAATGCGGCAAGGCTTGATAGGTGCACGGGAATATCTTCCTGCCACGTACCATGTCGAGGAGTCTGTCTATTGCAACGCTCTGTTGGATTTTGTGGTGCACCTTCTTATGACGACTGGCAAGATTCTGGAGCAGTCTGTGATGGAAGTAAGTGTTGGTGCAGTGCTGTGATCGTTCTGCGCGATTCTGACCACCACGTCTTTTTCCTGTATGCACTCAGGAGATCTTTTCGGTACCACTTCTGAATCAGTTGGTTGGCATCGATCGGCTGCTCAAATTTGCAAACCTGTCGCTGTGGGACAGACTGCTTAGCGCAGGTCTACACATGTCAGTGTTTGACTTCCCTGCTTCACCTGTTGCTGGGATCACATCGGAGGCGTGGTTTCTTGGCAACGTCCTTTGGATATCTAACCGGTAAAGTGCTGTTGTGTCGAATTGATGTGTGCGCAGCGAGATAATCGTAATCTGACAAGTTTGCAATGCATAGTGTGGAGAACAAAACGGACCTCGTTGTGCTAAAGGAAGTCCAGCTCCTCTCAAAACTGCTTCAATCCGTCCCACCCGTAACATACGCTGCATCAGGAGTCGCTGTATCGTGGACTAAAGTGTCCGATTCTCATTCCGTGCCCGTGGTGTTTCCAGAAGCCCTAAACGAGCAGCTACAGATTTTGGTGAACGATCGGTACTTGCGGTCAATGTGCAACCACCTCCTTCCATTTTATCCGAGCGCTCTTCGCTTCCCACTAACAATTCAAAGGCCGGCGCCGATGTACCCTGGTGCACCTACGATTGCGGTACGTGCTGCACGTTCTCGCGTTTTACGCTCTCGTGTAGGGCATAATGGTAAATTATGTGTTTCGCAGGAACAATTTGGTTTTGGTGACATCGCGTCGACGTCGTCACTGTCAACATCGCTTTCAGTGACATGGCAGAAAATGAAGTCAATTGGAAAGGCGACATGGGCTCGCAGTTTACTTGAAAAGGCTGGACTACGTCGAAGACAGGAGGGCGACGAAGACCTTGCAGTTGGTGGAACATCAGAACTGCAGAATACCACCGAAGAGGCACGTCGAATTGCTGCAAAAGGGGTTGATAGTCCAACGGAGACTCTGGATGTTCAGCGAGCGGGAAGTCTGAAGCTAGTCGAAAGCAATGAGCCGTTCCTTCTGGAGAATATCAAGGCCTTGTCGTACCTTTGTGGCACATTTCTATTCCGATGGGGAAATAACGGCTGGAGGCAGCGATCTTACTCGACACGTCTGCTTAACACACTGGCTTTCTATCATGTTGAGGTTGCGGGAAGTGGTGCGAGTGTCCATAACGTATCTCTCGTACATATGCTGTGGTGCGTGTTGCAAGACATGGAAAGGTTTGACGATTTTATCAAGGTGCGCTTCGTATGCGTGGATACCGCCACACCGGCAAAAGTTTAACCCACAGTCATGGCAGAATATGGATATGTTGCATGCCCGAAGTTCAGACCCGTATGTGTGTATGCTGGCGCTGTTTTGTATGTGTTACGAACACCTCCTGATTGTCGTGGATGATGAAGAGGTACGTGTATCTGTGCAATAACATCGGACACAGTTACTCGTTCTTTCTTCGTGGTTTGGTACCTGTTCTCGATGCATCCTCACTGATTGTCCTGCGACTGTTGCGTTCTATAGATGTACGAGCAAGAATATCCACTTCCCCTGTACCAGATTGAGCGCATCGTTCTATGTCTGAAGCATGCGCTGCACGAGGCATATTGGACGCATGCCGATCTTGCTCCGTCTTCGAACTCAGTCGCCTTTGGTATGTTTGTCGTTGAGGCGGGTACCCGTTTATTGAGAGTGCTGTACAATCGGTGCTCTCGCCGGCCTTTTTGCAACGTCTCGAGCTGGTACGGTGTATTATGGTAGTAGGATAGACTTATGGCATATCTGTAACGAGTCTGTCTATTGCAGGATCATTGCGGAGCTTGATAGTCGTCAGCTGATCGACGAGGTGTTGCTCGGCACACCTCGAGCCAACAAGCTGATCCAGTCGATGCCTTACCTTGTGCCATTTCCTGACCGGGTCAAGCTGTTTCAGCGCCTAGTCAAGGCTGACAAAGAGGTTCATCAAAATGAGAGCAGCTCTGTGTACCGCATTCGTATTCGTCGCGGTGCTGTCCTGGAAGACGGTTTGAGGAAACTCAACACGATTCGGACGAGTCTAAAAAAGCGAATCAATGTGGTTTTCGTCAACTCTGCCGGTCGCGAAGAAGTCGGCATCGATGCGGGAGGACTCTTCAAAGAGTTTTGGGAAGACCTGGCGACGCTTGCATTTGATCTGCAATACGGGCTTTTCCTGACGACGCAGGATCAGCTGCTGTATCCCAACCCCAACTCCGCCTCGAGTCACTTCACGCGCGAGAGCGATCACTTGACGATGTTCCAGTTTGTCGGCCGGATCCTTGGAAAGGCGCTGTATGAAGGCATTGTGGTCCAGCCTAAGTTCGCGCACTTCTTTCTGTCCAAGCTGCTGCATTCGTTCAATCAGCTGAACGAATTGCCATCACTGGACCCTGAAATTTATAAGGTACGTCTGCGCTGCACTGCAACAAAGCCGAGTCCGTGTATGTAACAATGCGACCTGCATGTGGTTTATGTCGAGCAGAATTTGATGTTCCTGAAGTCGTACGACGGCGATATCGAGGATCTAGGGCTGACTCACACGATTGTTCAAGACGCATTCGGCGAGCAAAAGGAGATTGAGATTATTCCAGGCGGAGGCAACGTGCCCGTGACGAACCAAAACAAAACGCGCTACATTCACTTGGTTGCGAACTACTACCTCAACACACAAACGCGCGAACAGTGCTCAGCGTTTCGCTTGGGTCTATCCGATCTCATTAACCCGCGCTGGCTCCAAATGTTCAACGAGCCCGAGCTCCAAGTGCTCATTTCGGGCAAGAGCGGCCAGATCGACGTCGATGATCTCCGGGTCAACACTCGTTACGCTGGCGGCTACTATGTGCTGGACAAACGGGTGTCGTGGCTATGGCAAGCCGTAGCCAGTTTCAGCCCTTCCGAGCAAGCAGCTTTTCTACGCTTCACCACGAGTTGCCAGCGCGCGCCGTCGCTCGGGTTTGCATCGCTCACACCTCAGTTTTGCGTGCAGAAGATCCCGATTCGACGCGACGAGGAGTTGCTGCCAAGCTCCTCGACCTGTTTCAATACGCTCAAACTACCTACGTATTCGTCGTACAAGGTGCTTCGGGCCAAGTTGCTCACCTCCATCTCATCCAACGCTGGGTTTGAAATGACGTGATACAATCGCAGCACTGGTGGTGGTGGTCGATCTTCGCGTCTACAGCTGCAAAGGTCACATTGACATTGGACGATCTAGACTCTTCTTGTCAACAGTGTGTGTTGCACGTGAGTGCATTGAGGTGCTACTCCGTAGCAGAGTAGCTAAATGGACGACAGAAGAGAAGAACCTGCTCGGGCTTGCAACATACTGAGTGCAGTCAGTGGATGGTGCAAGTCGAACTTGACATTGAACTTGCAGTTTCGCGATCGTGCGTGCCCACGAGTTAGCAAAACGATTGCATCTCTTTTTGAAATGGTCCATTAAGTCTTATCCGACTTTAGTCAGATCCTCACGTCCTGTATCCATCAATACAACTCGTCGCCTCAATCTTCAGGGCCCTCGTTCGACCTTGTCGTGGTGTTGTTAGCGATTGTCTATGTCTCGAACATTCGCTTTTCCACGCAGCCATTCGACAGATCGACAAGCCACGAATCGACACATGTGGTGCGATCGAGACGTAGAAACTAATACCATCCGACGCTTTGTGGTGTTCGCCAGTCACGCCAGCGCCCCAAACCTGCCAGACTTCATTCCGCCAAATGTCCCGGCTACAAACGGTAGCCATTGGCGCAATCTAGAAGATTCGGCGACTTCGACACGTCTGCCCTCCTGTCTCGCCGCAATTGTGCCGCAAAGTATCCCTGTCGCCCTGCCTCTCGCACACGGCCATGGAACCTTCGACGGCGTTTTCGAGGCTCTAATCCCCACACCAACCGAAAGATCGCCTGGTTTAGATGGGGCCACCGCCCGGTTGGCTGACCGCCACCGCCCGCCGCCGGTCCCCCCAAGTCGCTCACTTTTCAATTATCCGCATCGCGCACACTTCAGTCAGTCAGTCAGTAGTTGACCGCACTCGTTTCCCCCCCGCCGCAACTCGCCCCATCGTCATCTGATTCCACGACCATGAGCAGCGCCCCGACCGAAGCCGAAGCCGAAACGTTTGCCTTCTCGGCCGACATCAACCAGCTCCTGAGTCTGATCATCAACACGTTCTACTCGAACAAGGACATTTTCCTCCGCGAGCTCATCTCGAACGCGTCGGACGCGCTCGACAAGATCCGCTACTCGTCGCTCACGGACGCGTCGGTGCTGGACACGGACAAGAACCTCGAGATTAAGGTGATCCCCGACAAGGCCAATGGCACGCTGACGATCCAGGACTCGGGCATTGGCATGACGAAGGCCGACCTCATTAACAACTTGGGCACGATCGCCAAGTCGGGCACGAAGGCGTTCATGGAGGCGCTGGCGGCCGGCGCCGACATTAGCATGATTGGCCAGTTTGGCGTGGGCTTTTACTCGGCCTACTTGGTGGCCGACAAGGTCGTGGTGCACTCGAAGCACAATGACGACGAGCAGTACGTGTGGGAGTCGGCGGCCGGCGGCTCGTTTACTGTCACGCCCGACACGTCGGAGCCGATTCTGCGCGGCACGCGCATTGTGTTGAAGCTCAAGGAGGACATGCTCGAGTACTTGGAGGAGCGCAAGCTCAAGGACCTGGTGAAGAAGCACTCGGAGTTTATCGGCTTTCCCATCAAGTTGTACGTGGAGAAGACGGAGGAGAAGGAGGTGACGGACGACGAGGAGGAGGAGGACGAGAAGGAGGGCGAGGAGGACAAGCCCAAGGTTGAGGAGGTGGAGGACGAGGAGGAGGGCGAGAAGAAGAAGAAGACGAAGAAGATTAAGGAGGTGACGCACGAGTGGAACCACTTGAACAGCCAGAAGCCCATCTGGATGCGCAAGCCGGAAGACGTGACGCACGAGGAGTATGCGTCGTTCTACAAGTCGCTGACGAACGACTGGGAGGAGCACGCGGGCGTCAAGCACTTTTCGGTGGAGGGTCAGTTGGAGTTCAAGGCGTGTCTGTTTACGCCCAAGCGCGCGCCGTTCGACATGTTTGAAGGCGGTGCTAAGAAGAAACTGAACAACATTAAACTGTACGTGCGTCGCGTGTTCATTATGGACAACTGCGAGGACCTCATGCCCGAGTACCTGTCGTTCGTCAAGGGTGTGGTCGACTCGGAGGACTTGCCGCTGAACATCTCGCGTGAGACGCTGCAGCAGAACAAGATCCTGCGTGTGATCAAGAAGAACCTGGTGAAGAAGTGTCTCGAGATGTTTGCCGAGCTCGCCGAGGACAATGAGAAGTACAACAAGTTCTACGAGGCGTTCAGCAAGAACCTGAAGCTGGGCATCCACGAGGACTCGACGAACCGCACCAAGATCGCCAAGCTGCTGCGCTACCACTCGACCAAGTCGGGCGAAGAGGTGACGTCGCTTGACGACTACATCACGCGCATGCCCGAGAGCCAGCCGGGTATCTACTACGTGACGGGCGAGAGCAAGAAGGCGGTGGAGAACTCGCCGTTCATCGAGAAGCTCAAGAAGAAGGGTTACGAAGTGCTGTTTATGGTGGATGCCATTGACGAGTACGCTGTGCAGCAGCTCAAGGAGTACGAGGGCAAGAAGCTGATCTGCGCCACGAAGGAGGGCCTCAAGATGGAGGAGTCGGAGGACGAGAAGAAGTCGTTCGAGGAAGCCAAAGCCGCTACGGAGGGACTGTGCAAGCTGATGAAGGAGGTGCTCGACGACAAGGTGGAGAAGGTGGAGATCTCGAACCGCATTGTCGAGTCGCCGTGTGTGCTGGTGACGGGCGAGTACGGCTGGTCTGCCAACATGGAGCGCATCATGAAGGCGCAAGCGCTTCGTGACAGCAGCACGTCGTCGTACATGTCTTCGAAGAAGACGATGGAGATCAACCCGCTGCACCCGATTATCAAGTCGTTGCGCGAGAAGGCTGAGGCTGACAAGAGCGACAAGACGGTGAAGGACTTGATCTGGCTGCTGTACGACACGTCTTTGCTGACGTCGGGCTTCAGCTTGGACGAGCCCACGACGTTTGCCAACCGCATCCACCGCCTTATCAAGCTTGGCCTGAGCATTGACGATGACGACGAAGCTGCTGACGAGGCAATGGAGGACTTGCCACCGCTAGAGGGCGAAGACGAGGAGGAGAGCACGATGGAGGAAGTGGACTAAGCCCGCTGCAAGTTGTCGTCGACGCGGAGTACCGATGTGGTGCTGGGCGCAGCATGGTCGCGCCGGTCGCTAGTTTTCGCTTGCATTTGTAGTGGTGAGATTTAGTTAGATCTTCGTCGTTGAAGATTACATATATTTACGCTTCGCCTTCGACGTTTTGTGTTGTTGTTGTTGTTGTCAATCGACCTCGTGCGGCGTACGTGGTCGCCCGATCAAGTTAGATCGACGTGCAACTTTTAAGCTTACTGCATAGAGGGCAGGACAGTCCAATTGTGCCTTGCGTGCGACGTGACATGTACCAACCGAAAGCGTAGCCAACTGATCTACAAACCATAGCAGTGTCTACGACGGCAGTCGTCACTCTTCGCGCGGGTCCAAGTTGCGACGACGGCGGCCCGTCTGATATGTGTGTGTGCGTGCGGTAGGTGCTAAAACGGTGCAGAGAGACATCATCACTACTGTCACTACTGCGACCGTTGACGGACAACACGAGTGTCGCTGTCACTGCGCCGTGCGTCGACGTAATCATGTGGATCTGATTGGCCGAATCGCGGCAAAAACGAAGCCATGTCACGACAGAATGGTCGAGGGCGAGGAGATGACAGCCCGTTTTTGTCCACGTGCTCTAGGCCAGTCAAATTGGTATCAATTAAATACACTCACGTCACGCGCGACGCGTCCTGTTCTTTGTCCGCCCAGCGCAAGTCCCTCTGAAAAACAATGGCTCTCATTCGATCCGCGCGTCCGCTTCCACCTCAACCAGCCAAAAAGAGCTCTCTCTGCGCCGCGACACGCCAAGCATGGACGTGGCCAGCCTCCACAACATCCTGCTGCACACGTTCAGCAACGACGAGGCGGCGCGCAAAGCTGCCGAAGACGCTGTTGCAGGGCTGCACACGGTGCCGGGCTCGGTGCAGCTGCTCGTGCAGATCACGGTCGAGGCCAGCGTGACGCGGGAGATCCGCCAGGCCGCTGCCGTGTCGCTCAAGAACTTGGTCCACAAGTACTGGGAGGGCGCCGATGGCCCGGACAGTCAGTGGGTGCAGGTCATTAGTCCCGCAGACAAGGCACTTGGTCGCCAGAACGCCCTCGAGGCGCTTCTCGTCTCGCAGGACTCGAGCATTCGCGCGCTCTTGGCCGAAACCGTCGCGCACATTGCGCGTTTTGACTTCCCGGTAGCCACATACATTGCCACGAGATATCGAGTCTGGCAGTGCGTGAAAGTCGCTGATCTGATGTGCTCTGATGTGTGCGTGTGTGCGTGTTGCAATGTGACTGCAGGAGACGTGGCCGACATTGATTGACGACATTTGCAAGAACGTGCAGAGCGGGGAAGCGAGCCGCATCATCAATGCGCTCCTGGCGCTGCGTCGAGTGGTCAAGAACTTTGAGTACCGTGCCGATGACCGTCTCGCGCCGCTTTTCCAGCTCGTGAAGGTGGTGTTCCCCATGCTGCAGAACATGATGGTGCAGATGCAGACCAACAACTCGATCGAGGCGGCGCAGATGATGCACCTCATCCTCAAGACCTATTGGTCCTGCATCAAGACGAGCTTGCCGCCATACCTTGCGCAGACTGAGCTCGTGGTGGCGTGGATGGACATTTTCCGCGTGATCATTGCCAAGCCACTGCCGGAAGCAAGCGAGGGTGGCGAGCCGGCTGGACAGCCCATTGACGAAGAAGAGCGCGGCAAGTGGACGTGGTGGGTACTGAAGAAGTGGGCGCTGCAGATACTCTGCCGCTTTTATACGCGCTACGGCAACCCGAAGAAAGCCGAAGAAGAGCACGTGCAAATGAGCACTGTGTTCCGCAACCAGATCGCGCCCGGCCTGCTGCCCTGCGTGCTGGAGACGCTTGCGCTGCGGAAAAGCGGACGATTCTGCACGAACCGCGCAGTGCAGCTTGCGCTGGTGTTCATGCAAGAGGCAGTGGACTCGGCTGTCACGTACAAGCTGATCAAGCCGCACCTTGGTTTCTTGCTGTTCGAGGTCATCCACCCAGTGCTGTGTTTGACGCCGAAGGATCTGCAGCTATGGGCAGAAGACCCGCACGAGTTTGTGCGCAAGACAAACGACGTGTTTGAGGACTTTCTCGACCCCGTGTACGCCGCGTCGAACTTGCTGGCGGACCTGTGCACCAAGCGCGGGAAAGACTGCTTGCCGAACGTGCTGACGTTCTACACCAACATCTTGAACGCGTACATTTCTGCTCCGGACGACAAGAAGAACTACATCCAGAAGGACGCTGCTTTGCACGCCCTGTTTTCGCTGGACGGTGTGTTGACCAAGTCAAAGGCGCACAAGGACCAGGTCGAGTCCATGATTGTGACGCACATTCTGCCCGAGTTTGCGAACCCGCACGGCTTCCTGCGCTTGCGCGCTTGCAAGGTCTTCTCGCGCAAGTACATTGAAGGCATTCGGTTCAAGGACGAGCAGACGTTGATCCGCATTGTCAACGGCATGCTCGATGCCATGTTCGACCCAGAGCTGCCCGTGCGCATCGAGGCCGCCAAGACGATCCGTTTTGTCGTAATGTACCCGCACTCGGATACCGTTGTGGAAGTGCTTCGTCCGCGTCTGCCACAGATCCTCGAGCAGTTTTTCAGCCTCATGGACGAGATAGGCAACGACGAGGTCGTTGTGGCCCTCGAGCACATTATCGACCGCTTCTCATCGGAGATCGGGCCGTTCTCGTTGCAGCTTGTGGCGAAGTTTGTCGAGTTTTTCGGACAGTTTACTGCTGTGGCTGAAGAAGACGAAGACGCTTCGCTTGCTGCAGTGTCGTGCCTTGACGCGATCAACACGATCCTCATGAGCATACACAACCACCCGGAGCTGTACGCTCTGATGGTGCCAACGCTCGCGTCGGTCATTCGCAAGATCCTCACTGATCTCGACTTTGTCGAGTACATGGAAAGCGGCATTGACATCCTGGGCTCGCTAGCTTTCTACAGCCAGAAGATCGCACCGCAGCTCTGGGACCTCTTTCCGCTTATTTTCGCGAGCTTCAACGACTGGGCGTCGGATTACTTGACGAACTTTGTGCCGGTCATTGACAACTTTGTCGGTCGTGACATTGACGGCTTTCTCTCGGGCTCGGTCGTGGATCCAGCTACTGGCGCGAACGTGCGCTATCTGGAGCTCGTGTACAACATGGCCAAGACTGTCTTTGACGGCGAAAACGTGCAGGAGATTGACTTGTGCGCTGCCTGCCGACTGCTGTACTCGCTGTTGCACAACCTCTTTGGCAAGGTGGACGAGTGCATTCCACCCATCACGCACATGGTGTGCACGAAACTAGCAGAGCCGCTTGTGGACTCGACCGCACGCAACTTGCTGGGCGTGTTCAGCAGTCTGCTGCACTACAACTCGGCGCTCACGCTCGATGCCCTCAACGCGCTCGGCGCTGCGGACGGCGTGTTGAAGATCTGGTTGAGTGACTTGTCTCGATACGACAACTACCTGGACCGCAAGTTGTTTGTGCTGGGCACCATGTCGATTCTTCGTGCTCCTGGCGACAAGATTCCGACTGCGCTGCGTCCTCACATCAAGCAGCTGATCCAGGCTGCCATGAAGGTGCTCGTCGATGCCATCCAGAACCCACCTGCCGGCATCTTGGAAGATGGAGAGGAGGCCGAGAGCGACGGTGAGAAAGGTGAGCAGCTCGAGGGGCTGCTAGAAAACGGTGGCTACGCCTCCGATGAAGATGCCGAGGACGTGGTGGATGACCAGTACTACGCCATACTGCGTCAGTTGCGTGAGGAAGCGGAGGGTCAGTTTAGCTATGACGACGAAGGCGACGATGACTACATTAGTCTGCTCGACGAGGTGGACGAGGTCGAGTTCTTCCTGAGCTCGCTCCAGGGCTTTGCCCAAGCATACGCTCCCGAGTACCAGGCGTTGGGACTTGAGGCGGACGCGACGACGCAACAGGCCCTCGTGCTCTTCCAGACGGAGCACGCCAAGAGAAAAGAGGCTCAGGCGGCGCAGAAAGCGCAGCAGCAGCAGTAGCCGCTGTAGACAAAGACAGGGAACCTGTCGTACCTGCGTGCAAACGTCAAGAGAGTCAGAGAGAGAGAGAGAGAGAGACATGTTGTAAGCCAAGAGATTGATCCGTTTTGTTCACCCCCCCCCGCGTGTCGAGGTCTACTCGCGTGTCGAGTGCTGCTCACTGTCGGTCTTGAGCACGAGCCGATAGGCTTCAAAGTCAAAGTCGTTCGGCCTGTTGTTCAGCATGTCGACGTGAGCGTAGAGCTCGTCGCGCGTGTAGCACCGGAGCACTTGCTCCAGCACCAGCTGCGACTCGGGTTTGTCCACCATGTGCAGCACATCGGCCCGGAGCAGCGTCAAGCCCTTGTCCGCGAGCAAGTCGTCGTAGAGCGAGATGGCTACACACGGCTGGGCCGTGCCCGCGTCCGCTTGGAACGCCTCCAAAGACGTGACCAGGAAACACGACTGCTGGAACTGGCTCAAGAGGTTGACGTACCCCTCTTGGCGGTACACGGGCACGAGCAGGTACGGCGCAGCGGCTGCGCGCCGGAGGAGCTCCTGATACGCACTGGCCACGAGCGTCGTCGCGGCGGCGTCGCGCTTGTCGGCGTGGAAGCGCTGCCACAGGTGGCAAATCTGCGCCGGCGGCTCGTGCCGGAGGCGCTCGAGCTTGACGAGCTGCTCGAGCGAGCGCGCGCCGGGGTACGAGAAGCCGCCGCTTCCCGTGCCGGTGGAGCTGTAGAGCGCACGCAGCAGTGGGCGACGGCGGGCGCGCCGGGCGATCGTCGACATGGCGGAGAGAGGGAGAGAGGGGCGGGCGCGTGACGGCGTCGCTTTGGCCGCTTTATTTTTTTTTACCGCAATGCGACGGTCGCGTTTAGGGAATTTTTAGGGAATTTTTGGCAATCGAATCCCAGTACAATATGAATAAATTGACGAACCTCTGAGAAGGAATACTTAGAAATGGGTGGGCTCGAGTTACTAAATTGATCGACGACTTCATTTTTGCTGCCGACTAGTTCGGTAGATTTCTATCAGTAACTATCTCTCTCGAAATGCAGACCTTGGGCGATACCCGCAAAGTATAGAGAAAACAAACACTCCAGTGCATGACGCTTGAGTTTGCGACCAGCGCGCATCTCAGACGCAACGGTTTCGCGACGTGGACACTGAGACAGGTGCGGACCACCACGTTTGACATTTGCAGAGCTGCCTGATGTAGATGTGTTAAGTGCATGAAACACAGAAGTTTCTGCTGCATCACGAGCACTGCCTCGTCTTCTAGTTTGTCGACCCTGCAACCACGCGGTCTCGTGTTTTGACGGGGACCACGTGTGCAGCACTTGATCCACGTCGATTACTACGGCAGCTTTGGTTTGTAGCTCACCGCTAGCGGCTTGCATGTAGAGAATGTCAGTGGTTGACTGGGAAAATTGTTTATTCAATAACTTTATCACTGGTTGACTGGGCACGCAGTAGAGCTGCGTGATTGCGTTTTACGCATCAACCGGTCAAGTCTTGCCATTGTAACAACGACTCTAGCCCTTGCAGGCGATCACCGAGATAAGGTCTGCCCTGCATAGCTGCGCAGTTTTCATCTATGCCTATCGACGACCGAGTCCTTAATCTTACGAGATCTAATCTCGAAGAAGATGTGGCCACATGCAGTCATCTGCTTCAGCGGTATAAGTATTTCAGGCGTAAGACAATATGCGGCGTCCCATGATCCTGGGATATTTTGCTTATGTATACAGGCATCTTTCGAGCCGCTCCGTACTGCCTCAGAACATGGCTTGACGATTGGCTACTTCAGCAAACATATGGTGCGGTCGCTGTAGCGTCTGCGGGGCGGGCAGCCGGTAGGGACGGCGGAAGCTTCGATGACTTGGTACTCGTTGCGCGAACGCTTCGTGATTGCATGTCAGATGTGTGCCCGCTGTAGCCTAATTTGGATTTGCTCTTCCTGGAAAACGCCAGGAATCGATACTGAATGTGGCCGACTTTCTGACCACCGCAGCAGGTCCTCACTTGGCAGTGTAGAGTCGAGGGCAAAAGTCGCTCCGTGACCCTTCCAGTCTCAGCAATCGAACTTCGTTGGCCAAGTTCCCTGCTGGGCGTAGGGTTTGGCCCGATGGACAATGAGGCCGTCATGTCCTGCAAGAACATTCCCACTCGATTCCGGTAGCGCATCTGGCGACTACCGTCCGTCGACGCGGCAGACGTCACGTCACTGGCATCGATTTGCATTCTGAGTGAGCGAGTTACGCCGCTTACACTCATTTGGTCGCGCTCTTTTGTGCGTGGGGACTCGGCCTCTTGAACCTTTGGAACCTCCAAAGGCTTCCAAACTCGAGCTCGTTCAAGCACAAATGGGATCGATAGAGGCATTGAATGGCCTTTGTATACGAGTGCGCGTCTGTTGTGCTGGCACGCAAAGACGACGGGGCAGGTTCAAACGCTGTAGGCAAAAGCTGTGTCTGTAAACTCAATTCGATTGACCGTCACGCAAAAAACAGCAAGTGAGAAAAAGCGCTTGGACCAACGAACTACAGACGGCGCCCGAGGGCCCGTCTTCCGTCTCTTCGCTTCCTGCAGACGCTCGTGTCCACGTCAAGACGCGTTTCACCGGCGTTCGAGAAAGTGCGCGTGCGCGTTGGCCACCCGTTTTGCGCATTCGTATTTCGCTGAAGTTGCCGGTCCCATCCCCAAAACAGAACCCCCGACGCGCAATCGAGTGGTCCACCAAACAACCCCTCGATCGATCGACTCGTTCGTTTGGACAGTCTCCGTTCTGCACTCCCATCACTCTCAATCAAGTATCCACTCCCTGCCACGACCCTGCAGTTCGCCCCGCTTCCACTGGTCTCACCTAAGTAGCCAAGATCCCGCCTCGTCGCGCCCGCCACCTCATTCTTAATCTTTCGCGACTCGACGCACATTGGCCACTGACCCGTCGCCCCCGTCGAGGCCACGCGATCCCTTTTTACCCAATGGCAGACACCAATGCCATCGCGCCGGCCGTCGCGCCGCCCGCGCCGCTCGAGTGGCCCGAGAACATGACCCAGCTCCAGGGCGTCACCATCGCTGTGCTGCCCGTCGCCGCGCTCGTGCTGTGCTACGTCATGCTGCGCCTCGTGTGGCGCGTGCCGACACCGCTTCCGCTGCGGACCACCGGCGCATCAGTCCCTGGCTACGGCGCCACGGACGGCAGCGCGCCGCAGCCCATCACGGCGATCAAGACGTCGCTGGTCGAAGAGGGCGAAGTCGCGGGCGACTACAAGGCGCACTGGTACTCGACGTTTGACTTTGCGTTCCTCGTGGGCATGGGCGTCTACGGCGTCGCGATGCTCGTGCTCACGGTCGTGTACGAGCGCGCGTGGCTCACGGAGCCGCGGTTCTGGCTCATGCAGCTGCCCAAGCTCGTGGTGATGATGGCCGTGTCGCTCGTGGGCGGCCTCATCTGCCGCTGCTTCTGCGACGTCGACGACAAGGGCTACATCATGACGAACAAATCGTCCACGTTCAAGGTCAACTACACGCGCAAACTGCAGCACTTTGCCGCCTACATGGTGCCGCTCGTGATCAAAGCCGACCACGCCGGGCCGCTGGCGCTCGCGTGGGGGACTTTTTCACCATGTTGGGCTTTCTGGTGCTGATTAAGCCCATTCGCGAGCACTCGAAGCTGTTTATGCTGCAGTTCAACTCGCTCGACCGGCCGGAAGACCGTCCGCACACGCTCAAGTGGATCATTGTCGGCAACATTGCGCCCGGCATGTTTATCCTCATGTTCTTCAAGTGGCTCTTTGCTGCCCACGGCGCGCTGACGTTCATCCTCGTGTTCATCACGGGCATTGGCGACGGCCTGGCCGAGCCCGTGGGCATCACGTGGGGCCGCCACAAGTACAAGACCCGCAGCTGCTTCTCCCCCAACAAGTACACGCGGAGCTGGGAAGGCAGCGCCTGCGTGTTTGTCTCGGGGCTCGTGTTCCCCGCGCTGCAGTACGCGGCGTTTGACAACTTTTGGCAGGTGCTGCTGTCGATGCTGATTCTCGCGCCGACGATGGCGTACGCCGAGGCCACGGCCCCGCACACGATGGACACGCCCGTGCTGATGATCGGGTGCGGCGCCATTTTATACGCGATCGTCCATCTCGTCTAGACACACGGGCGCCCGTGTCCTCAAGAATAACACGCGAGCTGCAAACGCTCGAGTTGCATAACGTGGTGGTGCACGACCAGCGACGTGGTCTCTCTTTATCTGCCCCTCTCTCTCTCTCTGTCTGTGTCTAGTGGTCGTCTACCTGTCTGCTAATCGTATACCCTCACAGGCCGCGAGACCTCCAGTTGCACAAGTCCAGCTCGTCCAGGTCGTTGCTGGCTACCTGCTCCCTCTGCTGCTTGTTGCTCGTCTGCTGCTGCTGCTGCTTCCTCTTCTTCTTCTTCTGCTTGTGCTGGAACTCGCGCACGGCGGCTTGGACGATACCGGCGCCTGGTGCCTCAAGGTCGTCGTCGTCGTCATCTACTGCACCGACGTCGCCGTTCGCCTCGTCCACGTGCCTCTTCTCGGCCGTCTTCTTTCCACTGCGCAGACGCGCGACACGCTCGAGCGCCACGCGGTACCTGTCCACGTACTGCATGTTCTCGAGCTCGTCGACGGCCTCGCGCTCCTTTGTCTCCTGCACCTGCACGCGCTCTTCCTCGACCGCTCGTTGCTCCACCTCTGCGGCAAACTCTTGGAACGCTTCCCAGTCCGACGCGAGCTGCGTCGCTGCCAGCTGCTGCACGTCCACGTGACGCGCTTTGGCGTCGGCCGCCGCGTCGTCGAAGAAGCCCACGGGGAGCGCTGGCGCCCGCGTGTGCGCGTTGCGGCGCGCACAACTGTCGGCCGCTACAGCTGATGGCGACGTCGTGCTACTCGCTGTCGGTGGTCGAGCTGTAGCCATGTCGGCCGGTCGCTGCGTGGCCTCTTTCATCCTCCGCCGGCGGCGCTCTTCTTGTCCACTGCTGCCCTTTCTGTCTGGTGCTTTCCGTGCTTTGCTGGGATCGAAATGTATTGCGCGCACGCGGCGGGACAGACACTTTTGGATCGACGTTGTTCGTTTACAAGTTACAATACAGAAAAAAACAATCGAGGGGAGGGACGAAGTGCGTCGGACGACCAACCAGCTCGTCGTGTAACGCCAGCGTCAGCACGTTGACGGTCGCGTGGTCGTGGGTGTCCATAGATGTTACAAGGGCGAGAGCGGTTGAAAAGCCCCGACGAGCTTTGGCGGCCATCGCTAGTGTCGATGGCGTCGAAACTGCAACCGGCGGATGTTCAGACGGAGCTGTCCAATGCTCTCCTCTTGCCAGTGCTGCACATCAATCGCCTCGAGCTCGTCTCGGCATCAGACTCACTGGCGATCGAAGACGTCGTGAGGTGCTGAGGCTGGCGGCTTTCGGCTTGCGCTGCGTCGAGGATGGCGAGCGATTGCGGACTCTCTGTCAAGAGCGAGTCCCGGATATCTTCGGCAAGTGACGGGAGGCTGACTGCGACACTTGGACCAGCAGCACTAGCAGTGATCGTCTTGGACGCTGAAGGTGAAAGCACGTCGCCGCTTGCTTCGGTCCCGCTGGTACTGCAAGCAGAGTGCAGAGGTTTCGGGTGCACAGTCATGTAGTCGACGTACTCACGAATGTAGCGCTGCATGTAGCGCTTCACTTGTTCTTGCTGTTCGCAGAGAACGACTTGGGGGTGGACGGGCTCGTTGTTGGCGTCCATTCGAAGCAACCCAACGCTCTCTTCATCCGTAGATTGAGACGAGCAATTCCCGACGCTCTCCTTCTCCACGCTCCGACGATTGCGCTTGGTCAATGACTCGCCATCCGACGTGCTGACGTCACTCCCATCTTGACTGGTCTGCTTTCGCTTTGAACGGCAGCGTCCGCATGCGGAGAAAGCGTCACTGCAGTCATCGGACATGTCGTTCTCGCACGACTCAGTGGACTTCACGACGTGCACGTGATGGACTTCAGCGCCAGAAGACAGCACTTCCGTCTTCACGTCGACAGTGCCGTCAGGGAGATGCTGAGCTGACGTTTCGTGCATGTCGTCTCTACTGTGCGTGGAATCGGCTGTTGAACGTGTAGGAACCAGTGCTGCGCTACACATTTTCCACCGAAAAACAGGTTTCCGAGAGCTGGACAGCTGCAGCTTCTCGAGCAGCCCGACGCTGACCAAGACATTGGCCACGTCATAGAGTCGGCGAATCTTGGCTGTCATAGCAAGACACACACAAGGCAGCGTGAACACAGGCGACGAGATCTGGAGAGTGATGCCACGACGCACTTTTCAACAGACGGTCCTCTTCGCTTTTGCTATCTTCCATTTGGATGAGCTGCTTCGCAGCTTGATCCAACGGAATGATGCAGTCTTCCTGTGGACAGGAACTCCAAGTGTTAGTCTTCGCTTCCTTGACCCCGTGACTGTAGCGTACCTTTCCAAGGAACAACTGGACAAACATCTGACTCAACTTGGATAACGACTTGCCTCTCCGTCGGTCGTCTGAATGGCATAGACGTATCTCTGTGAGCTCCTTCTGACAAGCACACACATCGAGCTATGGGAACGACCGACTTGTGTGCTCACGTTTCACTGCAGAGCACGCTGTTCCAAGCGCGTCAAATAGAGACGACTGCTGGACACTACTAGCGCACCGTTGCTTCATATCGAACTATCCATCACAACCACCACTCGACAACGTTGACACGCACGCGATTGACCGCTCTGAGGTGAAGGACACTCGACATACCTTCATGGCGCTGATGGACGTCGGGAGGGGAAACGAGTCCGTGCCAGTGATACAGGTTCTTACTCTTTCGACTCACGAGGTGAATGCTCTCTAGAATGTTCACAATATCGTAGATACGTCTTCGCTCGACGCCCAGCTCTAGCGCTGCTTGGTCCAAACAGATTTCCGAGATGCTGTCGTCCTGATACAGTCGTAGAAAACTGATCACGCAATCACAACCGAGCACCACGTCAGGAGAGTCACACACACACTGACCTACAGCACGACCTCGTCCAGCACCTCGTCGTACTTTTCACAGAGCAGGCCGAGCGACTTCTCCTTCCGATTGTACTCTCGCAGGGGAAAGAATCCACTGTGGTCCCCACTTGACCGCGACCCTCGTCGTTTTGCCATCTCGCCCGTCCCGCGCTTGTCGATCGCCTCCTGATGATCGATCTCTGCGTGGCTCTTTGCTACCGGAAGCTCGGTCACGGCTGCCGCGTCTGCCGCTTCCATCCACACCGTCTCGACCTTTCTTTTGACCGACGTTCCAGCCTTCGTGTCACATCGAAGTGCACACGTTTGCTCTACTTTTGTGGACGCAACTGCTGACCTCGTCTCGCCTTTGAGTCCCTGATGGCCGGATAACAACGACAGCATTGCCGCTGCAGCTTCCGTGCGGTTCGGACTCGGCTGGTGGATCCGACTGCGAGCGTTCGTGACGTCAATGCTGCCAGCTGTGCGTGGTGGTCGCGCCTGCTGCCGCTTGCAACGGATTGGACTGATCACTTCATTTGCTGGCATCAGGAAAAGTTCAACGTCAAGAGCTCTGCAACGATGCGACCAAACGGTTGCGACCAAACCTCTTCGTTAGCGCGCCAACGCCTCGGATTGGCGGAATTTAAACTGCAATTTAAATCTCGGGAAGCTTTCTCCCGCCAAAACGAGACACGACGCACCACCTTCGAGGGACAATGGCAGCTAGTTGCCCGATGGCGGGGGTAGTACGACCGATGGCGTTGTACCGGTAGTCACGCACCATCCATAGATGCTCGCGAACCGGTACAAGACGTGACAGTGAGCGGAGGCATGCACTCGGCACCATGGCAAGAAAAAGAGGATCGAGCAGGGTTTTCGACCCAGTAACATACCTCATCGAGAGATGGAGCGACATCGCCATTTCGTGGGCAACTAGCGACACGTGCGGCGCTAGAAAAAGGCAGTCGAAGGACTGGCGAATGAATGCTGTCCAACTTGTTGTCATTGCCTCGTAAAGCAGTGCAGAGATCTGTGTATCTCAAGTAGATGGTCGACCTTGTTTGTAGTCGTGGGTCCGACAGAGGTCGTATGTCATAGTCGTCCGAATTGACCATTGCGGTATGTTAAGTGATGGCGTAAACCTTCGATTCGTACAGCTTGCAAACCCGGAAAGGTTGACTCCGACTTCACCCATCTTGACTCATCAGATAACCTTTCTCTCCCCATACGACGGCCCTTTGACTGCACATGCTCCGTATAGGACCATCGAGCTCGTGGTTGCGGTCCTCCTTCACTTCGTATTTCTATCGCTCCCGCGCAAGTGGCCTAGACCATGGGACTTGATATCTCAGCTGCCGTCCGCACCAGATTCAGTAATCAAGACGGCGTCTCTCTGTACAAGTTGGTGAGCCTAGCAACACACCGTAAGTGATGAAGAGATACATCTATCTTGGGAGTGGCTGATGAGACTGTTCGGCTGATCGCCAAGGTGTCCTCACGTCCTGAGGAATACACTCTCAACAATGCTGTCTCAGCGCTTCGAAATGGACTTCAAGCACACTACTTCCCACTAAAAGGCGGTCTAAAATTTACAGGGAATTGATCATACAATCAACTCCTGGAGCTCATGAGGAGGAAATAAGTCACATCTCACGGCCCTGTCTACTGCGCACACGACGAACATTGAAGCTTCAGCAACGGTTGTTCGATGCTAAGGTCTAAAAATGTGGTGGTGAGAACTGCTGGACAAATGATAATGCGCTTTTTGATGGCCGCGTGGGTAGACGAAGAAACATGCCGGTGGATCAAATCTTCGAGAAGTTCGATCTCAAGATGCCTTCCGTCACTAGTCTCACGGATCGCGAACGACTGTGCCACGACGTCGCACGGTGCTCCTGTCTTGTTGTGTTGAGCAAGAACGGTTATCTCATATACGTTTCGTCCTAGCCGTGAGTGCACGAGAAACGATGACCTAAGAACTGTCCTTGATATAATGCACTGTTATCGAAAACATCCTCATCCGATCGCGAGCGAGCTGTCGAGCTCGTAGATGCCTGGTTGGAAATTTGATCTCGTTTGGGACGCGTCCCCATGACGCTTTTGGCGCCGAACCCTAGACAACCCTTGGAAGGTGTCGAAAAAGGACGATGATCTACTACTGACACTGTTAATCATGTGCGCTATATTGCACAACGAGCTTACGTCTGGTGATGCGACGACTGTTGTCGAAGAGTTGAGTCAATTATAAGGTACAAGCGTAGACAAGGCGCTCACATAGTGACAAATGGCTGCAACTTGACGCATCGAACAAAAATGCGAGCACGTTTTGGAACAGGTCTTTCAGGCTCGGCTGTCGCATGGGGCCCCCTTGACTCGTTCTATTGACAGTTGGGGCAAGTTACGCGACGATTGCTCCAAAGCTGCTAGAGCAGATAATAGAAGGCGAGTGTTTTGCCACCCGGTTGTGACGGAAGATAAGCATGAATCGGTAAGGTTGGTAATGTTGATGAAAATTACTCTGGTGATGCGAGAGTGTTGTGTCTGCAAGATCGTCAATCACACAATCTTGACATACAATTCGTTCGCCTTCTCATCATAATCACAGAGTGTGTATCCCGAATGTTTATTAGCGTCGTTCACTACTTAGGTAAATAGGATGGCTGCAAGTTCCCCTACCCGGTGATTACTTTCGTTTTCCTCGTCGACACGAAGCATCCTCCCACGATGAAGCTAACATCGCATTGGGTATGGTAGCTTAGACAAACAACAGCTAGCGTGATACGTTCTGATTCACGTCGATTTGCAATTGCACAGTTTTCACAGAACTGGCAACATGTCCGCCAGGGAATGTGGTCGTACGCTCGACGGCGTCGTCATCGCCATATACTGATGAACACAACTTCCCGTCTCAACACATTCATCAAGTATAGAGATGAAACGCGCTTGCATGTAGAAGACCGCAACATTGAGCTTTGCATTAGAAGCTTGTAGGAAAGGGTGCTTGCAAGTGTGCGTAAGGCGATAGGTAAACTGCCTAGCAGCAAAATTTTCTCTCTCTTTTGTATGGGAGCGAGTCCTGCAGGATGTAGTGCCATACGTGTCCTGCGAGGCCCATCTAGCATATTTTCCCTCCATGGGAAGATACGCACATTTGTGTCGCTCTTCGGATAGGAAACGAATCGCAACGAATCGCATAAGAGCTTGGACGTCATACACACATCACGTACGCATGGGATCGAATCGAAGCGCGTTTACGAGCGATACGCTAATAAGTATATGCTCAAAGCTTTGTAGTAGCAACGGCTTATGTAGCGGAGCTAGCACATCTTCCGCGCCTCTACACTCGGCGGCGTAGGGAGCGCTTTAAATTTCTCCTCTCATCTGTCACTTCATGTCGTCTTTCACACTTTGTTCTTATTAACTCACAGGCGAGATCAGGCGTTGCAGCCCTTCTCTCGCATCCTGCTTTTCAACATGTCAGTAGCACCAGAAAATTGCATCCACACACTACGATTTACGGTAATACCTTTGTAATCAAACCACAAAAAATATTTTTGTCCCGTACTCATTTCTTAACATCTGATGCAGGTACGCGTATTCCTCAAAACTTGATTCTTCCTGTGACCTGGATAGATTTATACCAAAGAGCGAAATTTCAGAGCTCCAGCGTCCATCATGTTCTTTTCCACAATGGGTGCAGCATGTGAGCTTTGACTATATATAGTTTGACGCAAAAGGCGTGTACCGGTGATTGTCAGATCGTTTTAAAACTGTAACGGGGCAGCCCGTTCCATTGAAATTGTCATTTAGAAGATAATGACAATAAATAATATTATGTTGAATATTCTTTTAACAATATCACCAAGGGTGGTGATATTGATGGGTCGACCAAAGAGTCTGCTCATTGGTTGATATCTTGATGATATCAACCCACCAATCGCCGCAAGACGCGCGCAAGGAGTGCTGACGAGACGTCTTCATACACTCAGTTAGATTAGTATAATAAAGTTAAGTCAAACAGAGAGACAGTGGTTAAAGACTTAATTATATTAATATAACAGTTCGACTTTTCCCTAAGACAGTGTTGCCGCTGTCTTACCTACCGCTTCCTCGCTTGCCACGTGTACGTCCGTCGGGGCACCCAAATCCCTTGCGCTAAGTTACGCAAGGGTGTGCCCCCGTTACACCTGGTAGCACTTTGTAGTCCATCCAGCGACCACCTCCACATCATCCACCATGAATATGTTGGATGATGAAGAGACCTTTCACGCCACGCGTGAAGGGTTTACCCATTTGAGTGACATCGAATGGAGTGCGGTAGAACGAATGAGTTCTACCGTAGGCGAGTTCGCCATTAGCGCCATGTTGGAGTCTCTAGACAGAGACCAACAACATGCCGCTATCGCCAAGTTCATTCACAATGAACTTGCTCTCGAGAGGGAGAAAGTAGCCTTGCTTCACCAGCAAGGCTCTCAACAGGCCGAGCAGTTGAGTGAACTTGGTGCTCAACAGACATAGCTGATGAGAAAGCAGCAATTCCATGCTGCTGTGGGCGGGACGGCGCATGCGCGTCGTCTCGAGGTTATGAAAGTTGAC